CTGATTAGGGCCTTGAATATAGATGAATGGCAAAGGTCAGCCGTACATGGAGCTGCATGATTTTGACCATTAAAAGGCCTGGGCCTTCTTGGGCCAAGGAGACATGACTGAAAGCCATAACGTCATGAAATGTACGGCGAAGGTAGAAACAGACTTGCCCATCATCAGCAAAGCACCAGCTGGGAGGAACACCCAGGCCACCTGTGAGCCATGTCAGGGCCAACAGAACAGGCATCATTCCTGAGCGGGGCCATATGTTTGAGACTCGTCATCTCCCAACAGTGGCCTGGGCAGAAGCTAACAATGGGTTTAAAAGTAAATGCACAAATACCTAAGAAGGTGGAACAAACTCTGACTGCAGTGATGACATCAGAGAGGCCGTCCACCTGAATCCCTCCTGGCCTAGGTCCTGAAGACAGGACCCTGCTGGTGGGAGTTCACATGCCCAGGATGGAGCGGCGTCAGTTCTGAGAGCTCTTTACCACACACCGCAAGCTCAGGCTTGAGTCAGAGCACCCCATTTCTGGTGAGCCAAAGGGTGTGATGTCCTCATCTGGAAGCCCTCGACAATGTCTTCAAGAGGCATCCATAGGCAGCCTGCTGTGTGGTGTGGACTGCTGGAATCTTTAAAATGCACACCATGGAAATTATCAACCAGTGAAGCCATTTAGCAATGAGTCAAATATGGCCAGAGAATTTAATTCAGATCTGACCAAGAGCCAACCCAAACTGTACAATCACAATATACGACAGATCTATTTACTGCTCTCAGACTTTCTATAACTGGTCATTTCTTTCTCTGAACAATTTGGTATTGCCAGCTATGACTATATCTGAGGTTGGGGGAGTGGGTCATACACAGAAGCATGATATAAGGTCCTCAGTGAACACTTGATATTGTTGGTGAAGGTATATACAGAGAGGAAAGAACACAAAACTTGTGGTAGACTGTGATCCCAAGATGGCTTCAGCATCTTTCTCATCCCCCTGCACTCTTGCAATGTGACCTTGACATTCCCCATCAAGAAGTGAACTCTACGTCTCCTCCCCTTAATTCAGAGCCAGCCTGTGGCCTGATGTGACCAACAGAATGAAGCAGAAGTGACCCTGTGTCACTTTTGCAGGCCAGGCCTTAAAAGCTTGTCTTCAATGCTTAGAACACTCCCTCCGGAAAGCCAGCTGCCGAATCAAGGGCCACCTTGTGATGAAGAAATCCATCCAAAGTCCCCAGCAGAGCCCACCACCGCGTGGGGGACCACCCAGGCACCAGCCACACGAGCGAAGCCTTCCAGGACCTGCAGCCCCAGCTAACTGAAGCCAAGTGAGTGAGCCAGTCAACACCACCGACAGAAGAACAGCCCCACCAAGCCCTGCCTGAATTCCTGACCCATGAATCATGAGCAAATTAAACAGATGCTGTACAAAACCACTGAATTTTGAGGTAGTTCGCTCAGATCAATAGAGAAGTAAAACCAAGTTAAAGCCTGGAAACTCGGGATAAATCCGGTTCTGTTCTTATCCAGCTATGTGACCTTGGGTCAAAGACTTCCCCTCTAGACCTCAATTTCCTCATCTCTAAACTGAGGAGGTTATAGGAGGCGAGTTAAGGTGCTTTCCAGTTCTAATGGGCTGCACCATAGTGCAGGCCAGGCAAAGAGTGCTATGAGTAGTGGGGAGCCACCTTCCCAGGGCCAGGGCACAGGGCCAGGGGACAGAGCCGGGGACCAGGAGTCAGAAGCGCCGAAGGCGGAGTATTAAACAAGCCAGGCCCCAGAACACAACATGGCTCACAGTAAGTGCTCACGAAAGATCACTCTCGTCATTTTCTCATCCTCTCAGCTCTGTGACTCTAGGCAAGTTAATCTCTCTAATCCCCAAATTTTTCCATCTGAAAAATGGGGATAAACACTAATGTTCCTGTTTCGACACAAGGCAAAATCACCTACAAGTGTAACACAGAACTACATTACTAATACTCTTATTACCCTTCACACCACTGTCATTAAAAGTCTCCTCCTCACCCAGCAAATAGAGACGGTCAGCTGATGGCACTGACCACCAGGAGGGCACACTGGGAGAGGCAGGTATGGAAGGGCCACACTGCAAAGCCAAGTGAAATTTTACCACCCACCCACCAGCAAAAGTCAGCCAGCCAGCGCCTGTGCTCAACACAGAAAGTGGGTATCCCTTAGGGCCAGCTCTCAGCCCAAGGGGGTATCTGCAAACAGCCCAACATTTAAAGTCTGAACAATTTCCCAAGGAATCCAAGAGGTGCCCCCGGAGGATGCCCCACCGGCGAGCTGGGATTCAGACCACAGCCCAGCACAGAGTGAATGAACAGTCCATAAAAACATGAAATGAATAAGCACTGGATTTGGGAATCCAAAGGCAAAGCTCCCAGGTTTAAATCCTGCCTTTGCCACACACAGCTGTGTGCACCAAAGCAGGCCACAGTCTCCTGGAGCCTCCACTTTGTGTCTAAGACAGAAGGAGACCCGCCTCTAGGGAAGCGGTTAGGATCACATGAAGTACTGCAGGTGAAAAACGTCCAGGATTCTGCTCGATAATTAAAGTATGGCGTTGGTTTTGTTTAAGTGCACAGAGCCTCAGACACCCAGATGCCCTTCAGCCTTAACCATGACTTTTCACTCTCTGCAGAACCCTGAAAATGAGTGGCTTCCACCCAGAGAGTCCCTCCATCCAGTGCTGATTCTGAAAGACTGCCAGCCTTTGGGAGAGACAGACATGGGCTCATTTTCCAAGGGTACCTGACAAGGCAGCAATAATACATTTTACCGCCTGTGCTTTTCCAAAACAAGGGACGAGAGTGGTGTGGACTGAACCCGGAAATCCCAGTGACTGTGCAAGTTCACAGACACTTCTCTGGAGAGCTGTGGAAACCAGCTGGAGGAGGTGCTTGCTGGGCGCACATGGGACAGAAAAGCTCCTGCTTCCTCCCCCTGTAATCAGGTCTTGGCTGAAACGGTTGAATGTGCTGGTGTCCAGCCTCCATTACAAAGAGCTGGGAGTTAAGACCCAGTCCTTAAAGTCAGCCCTGTCCTTTCTTCTGTCTACCTTGCCATTCTCAAAGCCAAACCCTGCCCTGGGAACACACCCCGAACTAACTGTGGCTTCCCCTCCTTATCCAGCGCCACTGTGTCTGAATCCAGGGAAGTTACTATAGGAACTACATCACACAGCCCCCAGACATTTGCTTAGAAAAGACACTGCATGTTCGGAAAGGGAGGGTAAGCTCCGGCAAATTGAAGGGGAGCCTCAAGCCGAGTGTTTCTCCAAGTCTGGTCCCCATCACCTGCATTAAATCACATGAAATACCCGTAAAAGTACACAGTCCCAGGCTCCCCCCAGATGAATCAGACTGGAATTGAACGTGGCAAGAATCAGACTTTTTAATCCCCTCACCTGGTGACTCATGCATGCTAGGTTTTGAGACCAAATGCAAAGACTGTAAGAATAAAAAGGCTTGGAATCACTTCTCATCTCTCTTCTTACCTTCATTCTTGCAAAACAGAGCACCAGTGAACCAAACACGACAAAAGCCAATTTCCCAATTTGTTATGTCCATGAAAGTTAAATCGTGACTGTGATGAAAACATACTTTAATAAACCTGCTCACCAAAGCAACAGGCCCAGACACAAATTAACTCAAACATCTCATCTGAGCCAACCAGATCTAGTCTGAGAGAAGCAAGGTAAGATCTTGGCTACAGCCGCACTCGGGTCTCTCGGCCACGCCACTCCGCATTCAGTAGGGCTGCATGGGAGGTGGGCTCCTCGCTCTAGCAAATACAGTCGGGGGAAGGTTTTTCAGGAAAAAGGACAAGAAAAGGTAAGATTCACCAACTCGCACATCTCCACGAGAGGGGGAAAAAATCTGAAGATAACCGACATTAGGCACACGTCAGACACTCAAAGATGTTTCGCGAATTGAAGGAAATGGCCACCTGATGGACTCATCCCAGCCTGAGATGTGAAAACCCTGCCTCTACAAAGGCATGAAGGAGAAAAGGGAACAAAAAAGGGATGGAGACGAGGCTATTTCCACATTGGAAGTACTACCCTTTTCAAAAGGAGCAAGACCCAACCGACATTGTCACTTACCAGTGACAGGCGCACAGTAGGCGCTGGGCGTCCCTGGGTCTTTAAGTCACAGGGGAGTCAGACAGCATGAAGCAAGAGCAGCGGCACTTTCCGTGGGCAGCGGGGACCCCAGCTGATTTCAGAAACCAGACCTCCTCACCCTGGGGAGAGCATCACGGGGAACCAGCCCCATTCACACCTGACGGTCCAGTACAGAGGCTGCGCCCACCTCCTCCCTCCCCCAGGGACCTGGGGCTCCGGCCTCAGCGCTGGAAATTCCAGGCATCCCCACTAAATCCTTCAGCGGCGGCTCCCTTCTTAGCTGCTGAAACTTAACCTTCCGCCACTAAACTAGCAAATGGGCAGCTTTCACCCCTCCCCCGCCTTCAATGACTGGCACTTGCAAAGGAGTCGTGGCAGATCAGGCATTTAGGAAGTGACTCTGACACCTGGCACCTAAAAGCGACACCCCTGTATTATTTTCCTCACTTAGGGAGCAGGCATCCCCCCCTTTAAAAGACCTTCCTGAACGCACTTCTCCCACGGGATCCCAGCAGGTAAATAGCGCCAGCGCTTCCCGGACCCGAGTCCAAAGAACCAGGTGTCCGGGCTGCGCTCACCCACCGGCGCGGCCGCCGCGGAAGGAGGGGATCCGGCGAGTAACTCCGTCAGCCCCGGGCGGGGGAGGACGGGGGTGTCCGCAGGTGGGCGGGGGCAGCCGCAGCGCGCAAACTTTGCAGTTGCTCCTTAGCAGTTCTGGGCAGGAGCCGGCGCATTACGGACGGAGAAGGGGAGTCGCCGCCTAACAGAAGGGCCCCCCGACCAGCCCACCCTCCCGCGCTGCGGCCGGGATGGCTGCGCTGCCAGCCGCCGGGACGCGGTGCCCGCGGGCCCCCCACCTTGGCCTCGAAGCAGATGCCGTGCTGGAAGGCGTCCTCGTTGTGCAAGGGGATCCGCAGGTCGTGCCCGTCGTCCACGAGGTTGTACTTGGTCTTGCTGGGCATGGTGACCGCGGCGGACCGGCTGCTGCAGGGGCGGCGGCGGCGGCCGGAAGGACTGGCGAGGGCCGGGAACGGGCGCCCAGGGCCGGCGGCGGGGCGCGGAGGCGGCCGCGCGGAGCGTGCGCGAGGCGGCGGCGGCGGCGGCGCGGGGCCGGCTCGGGAGGGGGCGGCGGGCGAGGCGGCCGGGAGCCGAGGCGCGAGCGCCGGGACGAGGGAGAGGAGGCGGCGGCGGCGGCGCGGGGGCCTGTCACGGAGACGCCGGCGCGGGGCCGGCCCCGAGGCTCCTCCCGCGGGCGCGCAGGCCCCGCCCACCGCCGCCGAGCAGGTGAAGGTCCCGCCGCCCGGGAGCCTCGCCGCGCCCGGGGGTCTGCAGCCGGACCCCGCGCGCTGGCGGCGGCGGCGGCGCCCGGGACTGTTTGGTTTGTTTGGGGAGGGGGAGGGGCCGTGTGTACTGTTTTGTGTTTAGGTTTTTCCAGGAAGGCCCCCGTCCTGGCCGAAGAGAAACACGTTGTTAATGCCCGGAGGCCGCTCCCTGTCGGGAGCCGAGACTGTGCCCCCGGGGGACCGTCGCAGGCGCTTTTTGTTCCTTTGTGCGGCGATTGGTGACTTCGTAATGGGGGTGGGGGCCGCGCTTTGGGGTTAGTTTTCATCTTTAAGAGCCATCAGCCTGTGGAAATGGGGTAGGCAAAAAAAAGTACTACGGACAAGAGAATCCACAGCCTTTTTATTTTTCTTAAACAACCTTTATAATTAGGTATGAAGAAAATGAACTTACAAGTTATTGGTGTATTAGAATAATATATTAATCACATTAATATTCCTATCTCAGTAAACGCTTGAGTTCACCTGGCCTGTTGCTAAGAGGCCCGTTCACTCTTCTTCACATCAAGAGGTTTTGCCTTCAAAACAGGCAAATGAAGGGATCATAGGAGGAGTGAGGGACCAAACGTTCAGTGTCCGTCAAACCCCTATAGGTACAGGTACATGACAGCTATGATCGACATAGCTAAATAGTACCCCAAAGTCATCCAAACATGCGTGCGCCCGAGCCAGTCAACCCTGAAATCACTGAGACCGAACGGGCAGCCCTTCTGCTGAATCCATCACCTTAAACCTGCTTTTGGTACCGGGGGAACATCCTTGCAAGCCAGCTCCCAAACCGAACATCATTGACCGCAGGGCTTGGAATCCTTATGAAGCATCCTAATGCTGCTCGCAAAAGGCGTGTCTTCCTACACCATGTCCATGATACATTTACACAAGAGAATGCATGATTGCCATAATCACATTTCCCATTGTGTCACAACCTGCTAAAGAACAACTGCCCTTTCCTATATATTGCCTTCTTCCTATCTACTGAAATGACTGGTCAAGATGAAGCATCTTCTGAGATATCCCCTTCAATAAAAACAAGCTGATCACTAGAACAAATTAATCACATGTATTATGCTGCATAGACTCTATTGTATTCATAAATATTAGTAAGAGCCAAAAATAATTTGCACCGAGGAAATGCACGACTTAACCATTTGCATAAATATAGAACATGAAAGTCTAATGCATGTCTGACTCTCTGAATGTCACAGTGGTTTTAATATGCGTCATAATGCACTCTAAAACCTGGCACAGGAACTCGGCATTTTAAAGACAAGACCTTAAGTAACTGCTTCATTTACATCTCATATTCCCTCCTTAATTTAAAAAGTCTGACTCCAGACAGCCTTTTTTTCTAGATTAACTTGGGTCCCACTGGACTGCAGAATTTGCCGGAATTTCATATCTAACTGTAACGCATTGTAGATCACACACAAAAAACTGAAGCCCCAAAGGTATTTCAGGTTCTAGTACAGAGACTACTACCTAGTAGACATCCAATAACTCTTCATTGAATTGAATAATAATAATAGCTAATACTCACTGAGCTGCTTCTGTGTGCCAGGCATTGTTCTTAGAGCCTTACATGTATAATCTCATTTAATATTCACAACCCTAAGGCTAGCCCCATTTTATGAAGAAACTGCAGCACAGAGGGTTATATAACTGGCCCATGGACACACACTTAAAAAAGGAAAGGAGTTAGAATTTGAATCCAATTCTGTGTCAAGAGGTATTTCCATCACGGCCTGCCTGGATTACCATGAAAGTTTTCTTACTGCAAATGAGATGCATATCAAATTCAGGGTCCATGTTTTATTTAGGGATGTATTGTTGCTAAGCTATACACATTCCATTTCAGTTAGATGAAATGTTCCAAAAAGGAGAGGCCTCTTCCCTGCTTTGGCCTCTACCTAACGCAATGTCACAGCCACAAAGGCATAAAAACACCCTTCTTGCAGAAACAATGAACATCCAGAGTAATTTCCTTATTTTTTAGCAGTGATTTCAATCTTGTTTTTGCACCTTTAAATATGATTGAATTTCACCCACAGCACTTCCAAATCTATAAAAAAAAAGTCAAGTTTTATTTCTTAAAGTAAATGACGGGGTACATGTATCCCTTTCCATATCCTGTATTTTAAACAGTGCATAATGCAATTTTAACTTAAAGTGCGTTTAACTGAAGTCTAAATTGCCAAAGCATACAATATTCCCTATGTTAAATTTCATTAAAACTTTGTTTCAAAACGAATTGGGAAAAAAATTCCTCAACCACAAAACTTTAGAACTGGAAGTTCCTGGGAGATCCTCTAATCCGCTCCTTCAATTAATTATAAAAACAAAGAGAGAGAAACCCAGGGAAATTATGTAATTTGCCTAGTTATCATTATAGACTAGCACTCCTAAACCAGTAATATTTTCCTTACCTAATGATTGGTTATAATAAATTCACAGCAACTTTATTTTTAGCACATATTTGGGACAGAGAAAATTAATCTGTTCTCGATCATAAAATACCGGCTTTGCTGTGTTAAACACTTCCTGTGCATTGTCTCACTTGACTATATAACTCATTTTACAGATGAGGAAACTGAGACTGAGAGAGGCGATCAACTTGTGTACGTCAGAGAGCAATAGATGCTAGGAATCCTTCCTTGAGTATAACCAAGAAAGAATGAAGAGTAACAGCTTGCTCAATGCTGCAATACATGTAGAGCTAGAACTCACAAAAGCTTTGTATAAATAATGATATTAAACATTAATAACAGGTAATGATTTCTTTTCATTAAATAATACTTAGCTCCAAAAAGTTCAAATTCTTTTTTTATGGCACCATTTTTACCTAACACTGTCTCCCCAGGTCATGCAGAGTTGGCAATCATTAGCCCATTTTAAAAGGCGGCAAAAAGGTATTAAGTGATTTCTCCACACACACACCCCCCCCAAAAAGTATCCTTTTATCACTAAAGGTATCTAATCCAAGTTTGGTTTATTATGCTTTTTTATTCTAAAAGCATTAAGTTGGGACATTTGCAACATAAGAAAGATGATTCTAAGAAGTCTCACATGTTCTGATCCTGGCCTACATATTTTTTCCCCTTAATTGAACCTGAATCCACCACCTACACCCCTGTACCAAGGGCAGGCCACATTTCCTATTGCATCATTTATTTCTGCTTTAAAGGTAAGGCTCTCTTTTCTACAAAATTATGCACATTATGTTTTATGAATTGAATACTCTTTCAAATCGACTTCCAAGACAGTAAGACCTTTCGAGTTCCAAGCTTTCAGACACCAGGAGAGGAGGGAAGGCAAGGTGAGTGGGAAGCGGTGGTACGAGCTCCTTCCTCTGTAGCCCTTTCCCAGCCATCCCTGGACCAGAAAAGTCACAAACAAATAGTATCCAAGATTTTGGCCATGTCTCCTGGGTCTGCAGGCTGCCTAACAGCCTTCTTTCTCCTGGGACATGTGTAGGGAACTAGGGGACCTAGAGAAAGAAGCAAGGTCTGGAGAATTTTCAAGTTGGAGGAAGTTGGAGGATGGCTTGGTTTCCCACAGAGTTTGAGTCCCCTTTCTGATGTAGATTCCTCTAATCGCTCCTGGAAGATGTAACCATTCCCTGCTTTTCTAATTCAGATTATTTTTCAAAGTTAAAGTTGATAGCGATGTTCCCTGACCCCGGTTGATATTGCAGGTGAGATATATTTATTGAGTCAACACTTTTGATCCAAAAGCCTTTTGGTCCAAGGCAATGAGATCATATTTAACAGATATCACTGCTGTAATAGTTTTGCAGGGATAACAGTGCAATGAGAGGTATATATCCTTACTGAGACAGGCACTCCTAAGTGTGGAACAAATGTGTGATTTAAGTATAAAAAGGAGAGGCACCATTTCTCAGTGTCACAGGAGGAAAGGAGAAGCATCAGTGGACTGGCATGGTCAGGAGAAGCTTCCAGAAGGAATTCCAAAGAAAGGATTTGAATAGAACACAGCAGGAGGAGAGGAGAAGACACAGAGTCAGGGTCTGTAGAGACATGAGCCTGCAAGTGTCTTCAGGGGACAGAGAAGAGACAAGCTCCCTGGACAGAGTTCCTGCAGAGCCCACTCTGTGATCAGCCCAAGCAGCAGAGTGGAGAGAGCCAGGGGACCCCTCCAACAGGAGGTGACCCAGGGTGCTAATGCAGAAAGATCATCCCCTCATCAAAAAAAGAGAAAAAAAAACAACACGTTTCTTGACCCTTTCATTAAGCCAATGTTGAAAAATGGTGCTAAAGCAAATGGTTGGATTTCCCATATTGTAAGATGTATAGATGGTTGACTGGATCGTCATCGTGCTGTTTTCCTGTCCCCACAAATTAAGGATGGTGGAAGCAGATCAACCTGCAGCCAGGTACGGCTCAGCGTCACAGATTCCAAAGTACCCCCACATCGCTCGCTGCCACGGCTTCTATGTTTTGCTTCTGTGCCCCTTGAGCCTCGGGCCTTCTCACTGACAAAGGGAGGATTATTGGTTCTCTGGTTCTGTTTGACTTATTGGTTGGTTTGTGCATTTGTTTGTTTTAGTTCCATAACGGCGAGGAGAATTTTCTGTGGTTTAGCAGCTCAGCTGAAAATGGATTTTAGGACCTTCACTTTTACTCCCCCCAACTTAAGTCTGGGACTGTGGTCATCACTTATCTATTTAAAACACAATGTAAGCCCAGCTGCTGAAGTCGGGGCTCGTCTGCTCCACTAAATCTATCCTGTCA